GAAAATTGGCTGATGAGAAGGGCATGGTTGTGACCAAGACGATGAGACGAGCACAACCATGCCCTTAGATTTTATTTCCATGGCCCCTAGTGGATTATAGGGACGCACGACCTTTAGTGACGGGTGGTGTCCGTGGCTATAGGTGTTGCAGAGTTTTAGCCACGAACGTGAGGAAGAAGACGATGACGCGTCAACCCCCCTATGGCCAATTCAAACACGCACGCCCTTTTTATTTTTGCTGGCATATTGATCCATTTTTTCTTATTATTATTATTTTCCATTATACTAACAAGTAACATACAATGGCCTAGTGGTGAACACGTGCATCCAGACTCCTTCAGGACCTGGGTTCGAATCCCAGGTCCCCCATATGATTTGTTATATTTTTTATACAGATTATCACATGCAAATCAAGCGTTGTAGCACATCATACACCATCATCTAATCAATGGACAGATGACCCAGGGCCAAATCTGGTGGCCAGAAAATGAGAGTCTACCATGGACCAGGTCAGCGTGCATCCACTGGATCCAAAAATTTAGCCAGGCCAACGCCTATTGGGCCTTTGAATTGCTATTCCAAACCTCCAAATCAGGCCCACACCCCTAACTCTTTCTATTTCTTTTTTTCTTTTATTTAATTTTATTTGTTTTATTGTTTTTATTTAATCATTAACCAATCAAATCTTTTTCTTAATAAAATTAAAACCAAAAAATATTTTCTTTATTAAATCAAAATAAAATTTTAATTAATAAATATTAATTTAATTAATTTAGGCCCTTAATTAGGAATAACTTTAATATGTTTTTTTTCAATAATTAAAATTAACTTAGACATAATTAGGTTTTTTTATTAACATTGATCAATTTATTTTTATTTCTTTAAATACCAAAAACCCAAAAAATATTTATTTTTATTAATTAGTTTAATTAATTTAATTTAATAATTAACTTAGTTTAATTTCTTTCTTAAAAGTCAAAAACAAACAAAAAAAAATCTTTTCTTTAATAACAAAGGGTCAAAACCCTAGAACTCGCACTCGATTTAATTTCCCGTACGCGATCCATTTTATTTCAATATTGTATTTGTTTCCGGAATGTAATAGTTTAATAGGACTTTAAATATTTTTATCGCTTTATTTATTTTCCGCATTTAAATTTTAAAGGGTTGCTTTTGGCGATGTAAATACCCGACGCCTTGTAATAGTTAGTTAAATTTCCGCAATTTAATTTCCGCAACTTATAAACTGTTAGATGTTTGATAATAGGGATGCATGACAAGAATGAATGTTTAACCTAAAATCAACATAGATAACCATTGACGTGTACAAAGACAAAATAACTGAAAACGACACACTCGCACATGCACACTCTTAGGGTACACCCCACTTGGTTGCCTTCGTAACGCGGTCATTGAGTATAGGTTGTTTTACAGGTCGTCCTCTTGTCCAAAGATCATAGTTGCCTCGAAACGGTTGCCTCGGATAAAATGATCTAAGACATTAGGGTTACCGCTAAGGCGTCCTAACATTGCTTTAGTGACCGCACGTCCCTTAAATCGAATTGACCCTCAAACTCCAACGACGGTGCTACCTACTCATCAATAATAGGATAGCATTGTCTAAAGGAAGATAGCATAGAACGATTCCTTTTTCGAGTAGGTAGATCGTTCTTAAGTACTTGCTCTTTCAAAACAAAACAAAATTTTCACACTTACACTCCTTTTCAAACAAAAACTTCTTCAAATCCACAAACACAAAGAAAAGCAATTTTGAAAACATATGAGCAAGTACCTAAGAGCCCGTGGATAACCACGGATAGAAAGGGTGCTAACACCTTCCCTTTCTATAATCTGCCCCCCCGGACCCGAGAAATATCTCGAAAAAGGAATTTCTCTGTGCTTTTTTCCTTTCCTTGTTGGATAAAATAAAAGACGGTGGTGACTCTTGCTTACCGCGACATTTTGCGAACACAAATGCAAAACGCAAACCAGCATTCCAAAAACAGTCAGTTCTCTCCCACCGTATCACACATGCAAATGCGAAAATGGCAAGGTTATGGCAAGTTCAGAAACAATTTAAGGTATTTGATATTGGTTTAAAAAGAGCCTTCATGGCTTGATTTGTTACCATGTATATCATCTCACCTCATCCCTCTATAAATACGGAAAGCTTAGCATGCCAAAAGGACCACGAGAGCCTACCCCAAAAAGAACACCACAGTTTCTAAAAAATTTCAAAACCGAGACAAGCTCAAAACCCTGTCTCTAGGCATTTTCAATCCAGTTCATTGATTTAAACGTATTCCTGAGGAGATAAGGAACCTCCCCCAAGCTAGAAGTGCATCCAACCAGTCTCAGAACTCCCACATCCGGTCGTACCGGTTTTTGGTAAAATTTCAAAACCATATCTCTTAAACCATGCATCATTTATTTATTTCATGTATTCATGTATGTTTGTGATGAAGTTTAAGACAGGATGGAGGCCTTACATGTGATCCCTAACGCAAAGAGGGAGGGTTACCATTATTAGGGCTCCAAAGCTGTTAAGCTCTGAGCTGAAAGATACTATGAGTTTCAGGCCAAACTAATCATACCGTTGAAATCGCATTCCTCTAATTATGTGATTAGCGTTTTTCTCTTTTGTTGTTCCATCGTTTTTTGCAGGTTTGAGATTTTGCATGGCCGGAAAGGACGACCGAAGGTTGACTCCGGCGTCCCTGAGATGAGTTGACTTTAGCCAGGGCTTGCATGGAATAAAGCAGCATTTTAATTGGTTCATTCAATTTCCAAGGGACGCGTGTGTTTGACGATCTGAGATAAGCTAGAATTTGATTTTATATTGTTATGGTTTGATTATACTAACAGATGAATCACGCCACCCCAGTGGCAACACACACGCACATAAGGCCTTCATGCTCCTTGTCCTGGGTTCGATCCAGACGCAAGGCATTTTTATTTTTCTTGTGTTATTTTGGCATATCTGATGCATACAAGTCCAGTGCGTACATAATGCAACTCAAATCTAGGCCATCAGATCTCAAGGTATCAAATCTAATGCCCCTGGATCTGCAGGCATACCATGGGACACATGGGTTCAGATGTGCTGGATCACATGTAGCTCCTGGGCTCAGTTCTTATTAGGCCTAGAAAACTCTGGATTGCACCCCCAACCTTTTTTGCAGCGCAACCCATTTATATATATTTTTATTTCATTTTTGATTTAATTCTTTTTTCTTTTCTTTCAATAACTATTTTTCATTAAAAAAAATCATAAAATCAAATCAAAATTAGATTTAGAACCTAATTAACTAACTTTATTTTTATAATAAAAAATTAATTAATTAAAATCATTTTGAGTTCATTTTGTTAATTAAATTGGTTAGAGTTAGGTTTATTATCATAAAACTTTTTTTAATTAAAAACAATAAATATATTTTCTTACTTAGAAATTTTTTAGGGTTCTAGATATTTTCCCTTTTTTCTTTTTCGCGCGTTCATTTACTTTTTGTTCGCACTTTTCAATATTGTAACTGTTGAAGATTGTAATAGTTAAAACTATGTCCTTTTACTTTCTTTCCCCAACTTTTTGGTTTGTATTCCCCCATCCCGAAGTGATGTAATAACGTAGTTTAATTCCCGCATCTTTTCTGTCCATATATTTAAACTGCTAGATGTATGCTAATAGGTTTGCATGACAAGATTTAAAAGCAAACGATAGAAAACCTAAATATCCAAGATAAATAACTGAAACACAACACAACTCGCACGCGTGCACCTCTAAGGTACCTCCACTTGTTTCCTTCGGATTTAAAACAGTCACGTCTCTCGAACATGAGAAGTTTTATCAAAGACCCTTTGGTTAAAAGATCATAGTTCCTCGATGAACCTTCAATGCTTCCTCAGTAAATGATCTTGGTACCTTAGAGTAATTGCTAAAATATCTTACGAGTTTCCTTCGTGATTGTACGATGACCCTCGCTTGTCCCTCAAAACATCCAATGATAGGGCTTCCTACCAACTAATGGTAGGATAACACTATCTAAAGAAAATGAGGAAAAGAACAAAGATCTTTCGAGTAGGTAGACAACTTGTAGTTTCTTGCTCACAAAACAAATTTCTCACACATACACTCTCCTTTCTAAATATTTTCAAAGAAAAAAAAAATACTTTGTATGCATTTCTCACACATACACTCTCCTTACACAAAAAAGCATTTTCAAAGTGAGCTAGCAAGTAAGAGCCCGTAGATAACTACGGATGGAAATGGTGCTAATACCTTCCCTTTCTATAACCTACCCTATTTCTCAGAAAAATTATCGAAAGGTCTTTCCTGTTCTTTTCACCCTTTCCTTTATTGGAAAAAAGAAAAGTTTGTGGCGACTCTTGCTAACCACAACATTTGTGATAAAATTCAAAATCAATAAAATCAGTTCTCCCATCGTATTACACCTTGCCATTTACAACTATAATTCCAAGTTCACAATAAAAGTTCCACTAAAAAAACGGATCCAAATGTCATACAATTGCCAAACATCAAGAACTTTACAAATAAACAAATTTCATGGAAAATTTCTAGAGCCAAAAATAATTCCAGCAGCTTGGTGCAAATCTGCATTGAAACCTTGATAAAAAAAACTCCAAAGTTTTACCTTATCATGACCAAATCAAGCATAAAAAAACTTGCACAATTCAAAGCCATGCATCATGTAAAAAATCATGTTCACAAAGAAATTCCAAACAGAAAATTCAGCCATGCACATGTGTACCAAAACAAGTTCAAATATCAACACAATTCAAGTTAACCAAGCCAATACAAAACCAGATGAAATTCCAGCTCAACAAAAATTATCAAAACAGAAAGAACCGTGAGAAGCAATTCATAAAAAGCCAAGACAGTTGGAAAATATCACATAGCAAGTAGGCCAGCTTTTTAAATCAGAAGGAAAAATCAGAAAAAGAGTGTACAAGTTTACAGCTCATTCAATCCCACAAAATCAAGGATTATTCTCTCCACTCCAAAAACCACTCACGCATTCCTCACCCTCACTCCAACAAACTTATTTCTCAAGTTTATCCAATCCACCTTTGATCTTATCCATTCCCTCAACCAATTTCCTCTTTTGCCCTCACTCTATTCTTCCTATAAAACAAGCCCCTCATTCCTCTCATTACACATAACAATGATACCATCAACCCAACAATCACATTCTTTACACAGTTTTACCCACAATACACAAAAAAAAATAGAAAGAAAAAACTCTATGATACATTTTTCTGCAGATCCAAAATTACATAGAAAACTCTCCCTCTCATCAAACACACAAAATCACATAAAACACTCCATTCCCTCAACCTTGAAACCACTAACCACTAACCTCACACTCCATAATCCATTTATGTTCATATTTTACACCTAACAATACACAATCACAAAGAGATTTTACGCAGAGAAATAGGAGGCAGAGATTCAACACAACAAAATTTTCAGAGAAACTTTAACAGAAAAATCAACTCACCTCTCATAAATCCCTCTGTGAACTCTCTCTACACTTCTTCAACTCTCTACTTCAATCTTCAAACTTCTACTTCATTCACCTTCACTCCATAACCAAACTGTGAAATCTTCCTCTATCGCGGATTCATCATTGTCATTTTTGCGTCTACCGCATCATTTTAGATGTCAATTCGAATCTGTGATTTAAAACTGCAACAACAAACTCCATGGAATCAACACAACACGAAAATAAAGAAGAGGAAGAAGGAGATTTCAGAAGCATTATATCATATTCTATTGAATATATTCGAGTTTCTTGTCAGCTCTGTCGTGTCTAAAGCACCACTAGAGTGTCTCCGGAAGGTAAATTTCTTGTACTCACGGTCCTATTTTTGTTTAAAGAATTGAGTTGTTTCGGCAGTAAGATGCGAAATCGAAGAAGGAGCTTCGAATATGAGCTCACGATGGCGGGAAGTGGCGGAATCATCGGAAATCTTGAGAACAGAGATGAAGGAGGTCCGCTGTTTGAGAGGAGAGGACGAGTTTTTGGTGATGACGGCAAATAGGAAAAGAGAGCAGAAGAGAGCCGCCTCCGTGAGAGAAGGGAGAGAGTTTAGTTTAAAATTATCTGAACAAGATTTTTGGAACCCTAAAATCCTTTTTCAATTTTTCTTTTTGTTTTTATTTTATTCTATTTTCTTTTAATTATATTTTTTTTTTACAATAATGCTGAAATAAAAAAATGGATTATTGCTTTACTGATGGGCCGAGTTGTATTATCTCTTAGGCCCGTCTTTGGTCTTGCTTTTTTGAAGATTGCAAGTTCTTGAATAAAAATAGCCCTTGGACACTTTTTTAGTTTAGGCTTTGCAATAACTTGCTGAATCCATTAGACCATTGCTACTTCACACCTGATCCAGAACATCATACCCACATATATTTAAATTATTTTTCCTCTTCTATTTTTCTATTAATTATTTTGATTAATTTTTCTTGTTACTATTTTTTCTTAATTCCTTTACATTAGAATAAAATTTTATTTTGATTTAATTTCTTTACATGATATAAAAACCAAAAATATATTAGAATAGATTTTAGTCTTCTTTTATTTTGATAAATTTCTTGTGTGATTACCATGTTCCCTTAAGATTTTTAGTTTAATTCTAATCTCTTGATTAAATTGAATTAATTAGATTTTAGGTTCTTAAGCCATGCATGCTAACTTAGATAGAAGTTTCCCCTATCAATCCTTAACCTTAGGACCATCATTGTATGATAACATTAGGATCTTGTTAGTCTCCCTTAGACTTTTTAATTCTCTTTTTGCATCTCTTAAAACTAAAACTTGTTTTTCTTTCAAATTCCTCAAAACACTTAATAATAAATAATGATAATCACACTTTCATTAAGTAATGGAAATGATAAGCGGGTTTCTTTTTGATCTTATCATGCTTTTATTCTGTCTTTTGTGTGATTCAAGTCTCAAACTTTTTTCATAAATAAGTGGAGAAATGTCTAAATATCTCTCTCTCGATATTAATTAGTTATTATTCACAACAAAAACACAAGCCAATTCAAAACTCTTTTACCACTTGGCTTTTCTTTTGAAAACTCTTTTCATAAAGAAAATGTGTTTTAGCCATTCCAACACGAAGCGAACTCAATGACTTAAGCCTCTTCAACGAGCTCCCAACAAGTCAACATTCCGATGTTTGGAATGTCTAACGCATCACTCTCATAAAAAACACACAACAAACAAAAATATTTTCTAGAAAGAACTACGAGTGCACTGATCCCTCACTGCACGATGGATGGTATGTAGGCACTAAAGATTCGCAACCGTCACGGGCAAAACTAATAAAAAAACTTCTTTTTGTATATAATTTGCATGCATTCCCTTATAACATTAAGCTTTAGACTTATATTTATATACACCCTTGGATAGAACAAACTTGAGTGGATCCCGTGGAGTACCACAGACGTGAGGGGTGCTAATACCTTCCCCTTGCGTAATCGACTCCCTTACCTTTCTCTCTTGGTCGTAAGACCATACTTCTTTCCTCCTTTTAGGTTTATTGAGTATTTCCTTTCCCTATATTCGGGATAAATAACATTGATGGCGACTCTTCTGTCTTTTCGCTTGTCGTTCGCGCTTCAATGAAAATCCCAGACGCGACAGCTGGTGACTATAATGGGGAAACTTAGTGAGTCAGTCCTAGCTTTTATTTGTTTTCTTTTCTTTGGGTGTTTGGTTTGTTTACTTCTTTGTTGCTACTACTTATTTATATGTTTATATGAATTGCATTTTATTCTACTGGTTTCCTATACTCTGGATATTGTTGTTGTGTGATTTGTCTGTTGGGATGGGATGATACTATTGAGATGAAAGGCCTAGTACTCAGGCCAGAGTTGTAAACCATTAGGAACCTTAAGACTAAAGTGGTGACATGACGGCTACTGGATGAGGTCCTACTAGTGCATTCATGTGTACCATGATCAGCTGGGGTACAAATGGGGTATTTTCATCATACACGTCCGTGTTGCAACGATAGTACTTTCAGACAGACCCATGATTCTGAGTCACCCTTTCCTTACCTTAACCTAGACTTCACTCGTGAGTGGGAAGAGATGTTCTTACAGGTACTGTTGGTGACTTTGGTTTTATTGGTGACTATTTTGGTTCTTTTTCGTGATTGTTCCGAACTTTTGATCCCGTGACTTTTGACTCCATACAACAGTACATCAGTGTCCAGTGTTATGGAAACCTTGATTTTGTCATTTTACATCATATCATATCTATTTTCAAAAGAAGTATGATGTATAAAAAATGATAACTCACATATTCAAACCACTTCCAAGGTGTCTTTCATTTATTAAACCATATTATTTATCATCTTATTGGGTGACGAGAACCTTAAGATTTCCTGGAAATGAAAGCATTACATGCACTTCATACATTCCATGCATATTTTTATCAGGTACATAAACTTAATGGGGCCCTTATCTTTTGTCCATATTCAAAATTAGTGAAGCTGACTCCTACACACCCGTACAACACCAGACTCAATCACCAGAGGATTATGGATCACTTTGAAGAGAATTAGAATGATCTTCGCCAAGACATGGATGTTGGATGCTATGGGTGACAAAATGAACCAGATCCTTGAGACTCCCCATATTGTTATTCATGGGCAAGAGAAGCTTAGTCAGAGTATCACTAAGATTGCAGAGATTGCCTTCACTATTTCTAAAGAAGTCACCAGGCTTAATGATGTGACTATTCCTGATAATTCATAGATAGTGATTAATAACCTTATTGATTTGGATGACCCTTTGGGGAATTTCCCAAACAACCTTATTGTTGATGTTACTGAAGAGACAAAGTTATACCATGATCTTGTTGAGCCTCAAGAGGATCTTATTATTGAGTTAGATAAAACTGATAAGATGTATCATGCTCTGGATGAACGTCTCAAGGATATGGAATTTTCCAAGGTTTCTAACACTGTTATGGCTCCTAGTCGTGCTCAGCTTCAGAGTATGGCCTAGAAATCTGAAGAGTCTTTTAAAGAATACACCCAAAGGTGGAGTTAGTTGGCTGCAAGGGTTCAACCTCCTCTCTTGGACCGTGATTTGATTGATCTATTCATGGAAACCCTGTAAGGGACCTACCTCCAACACATGTTCATGAGTACTTCGGCTTCTTTTTCTGACTTGGTTACCATTGGAGAACGCATCAAAAGGTACATCAGGACAGGAAAAATTCAGGGTTCATTTAGCACTATCAGTATCAGTAATGAAAAACTATACTTCAGCTCTGGTAATAAGAAAGAAGGAGAAAGTAGTACTGCAATTATTGGAACCCTTGCCTACTCTCAAGTTCAAGCTCCGAATTATGAGACACTAGTTATTCGTTCTAACCGACATGCTTCTCAAACATATGTCACAGTTTCAACTAAACAATCTCAGGTGGCCCGACAACAGCCAGTCCCTCAGTCATTCTCTCATCCACATTAATATGCGCCAAGATAGCCGCCACAGTATGCGCCTCCTCAGCATAATCAATACCCAGATCAGCGTCAACAACAAAATTACCCTAAGCAGAAACAACAAAAGCCAGGTGAGCCTGAAATAAAAACGAATTCAATTTCTATGTCTTACCGTCAATTACTTCCTCACTTGCTCCATTATCATTTGGTCAAAGTAAAAAAGTTTACGCCTCCTCCAAAACTTCTTCCTCGGGGATACGATGCAATTGAAAGATACGAGTTCCACTCAAGGACACTGGGCTACTCAATTGAGAATTATAGAACTTTGAAGAACCATGTGCAAGACCTGGTTGAGCTAAATGCAATCACATTCACTCCCAGCGGTCTATGCATAAACTAAGGTTTACTGCTCAGACAAATTCCAAGACTACAAAGAATATCTTCTGAAGTAATGAGTCCACGCGAAGTCTCTCCTCGATAATGGAAGTCTTTAGTTTCATTTTGCATTCTAATTTGTAATCTTTCTTGTTTTGTTCAATACTTTCTTGTATGCAAAACTTGTTTGTTTTTTAATATTAATCATAATGCATTGAATATGTTTGTATTGAATTAATCCATTCGTATTCACTCATTTATTTTATGATTTTGATACTCAACTCTTGTTAATAAAGCAAATAACTCTAGAGGGAGGATGATGAGCATGATACCAAAAATTTCAAACAGCATGCTTTTGTGTAAGACCATGTTGACGATGTACATGCATTGTTTTAAATCCCCAAACACCGGAGATATAAGGGAGATAGATCCTCGTCAACTCCTTTGAGCCTTGAAGTAGGAGTTTCTTTTCTTAAAAAAAAAACCCTCATTTTTAACCCGGGGTCGGGTAGTCTTCTGTTTATTTGATAGAGCATTCAAATTTCAAAAGGGAGTGAACATTCGAGAATCGCCACACCTAATCCATCACCTATCAGGAGGACAGAAGATGACGATACAAAAAATGTTTATTCCTCAATGATCAGAGAACGAACCAGTCACAATTCTTCCAACAAGTCGAAAACGACTCAAAGTCACACGAGATGTTAAAAAATAAAAAGATAATTAAAAATAAAATAAGGAAAAGCCCGCTAAGTCGAAAAACTTGAAAACAAGTGATTTAGGCAAAAATTAGGGCATCCCGCTGGACTTGAAAAAAAAATTGTCAAGGAAAAAGTTAGGGAAAGCGAAAAAGAAAAAGGAAAAGCCTGAAAGGAGAGAAAGGAATACAAAATGAAGATCCTCAGCGAAGAAAAATGTTGTGTGACCAGAAACGCAAAAGATGTAAAGGTGAGTGACTGTCATGTCCAAGAAACCTCAGTGGTTCCTCAACCATCATAAATTCCTCTTGGATGATGAGTGCTCGTGTTGAGTTAACTGAATGTAGGAATGGAGAACATCATGAAGAATGGGAGGGTACCAAATAATTTTGAGCCTCAAATCCTTTTTTCTAAAACCGTGAACCAGACCACGTTACAACCCTTAAAAGTCCTAACTGAAGCATGGGTTAATTCAAAAGCATATTGTAAACGAGAGTACGGTAATCTGACTTCTAGGAGGCTTGCTAAAACTTTTGAGTTGGTATCGCATCATCATTCATACAAAAAAATTGATGTTTCGACATCCTTTCAATAAAATCTCTTTAAGTTTCAAGACAAACACAGGGTTTGTATTAGAATTATCATTCTCATAATAAACATTCTTTCCATATAAACAATTACTTAACATCAAGTAAGCTTGCATAATGAGCATCAGATGAAGAGTTTGATTATCCCGAGGGACAAATTGTTTCAAGAATTTGTTAAAGAGAAAATCATTTTGAAGAGGGAACTTAATCTGGGGTAGATCTTCAGAATTCAGTCAACCTAAGGCAATCGCGTCGAGATCCGACAAATCTCTCTAAAGAAATCTGTAACTGGGGACAGTTTATTTCGTCACATAAGACATTGGGGCAGGCCACCTCATATCGTATTGTGGCACGAATAGTCGATCCTTCTGTTCTAGGAATTTTCTTCCAGAGATCATACAGACAGAGGTTTGATTCCTACAAATAGAGTTATCATCTCTGTAGCAGTCTCCATACACAGGACTCCTAGTGATGTAACTTAGGGTATATCAAGTTCATTTTTCAGCAAAACAAGTCCATAGATGATTGTCATCCCATCTTCATAAAAAAATATAACTTGGGGCATTCCAGATGACGCTAAAAAATATTGTTCTCATAAATGATAACTAATCCCAAGCAGTGAGGCAGACTTGGGTATGGTTCATCACGTGCATTAATCACATAATTCCCCAGTAGAGTAAAATTAGGGCACTCGAGGAGTTCTATGTGGTTCAACATGTAATTCCCACAGACGATTATCACCTAATCTCCAACAAAGAAGAAAAATCGAGGCAGTCGAAGAGGTTCATGTTCATCTTCTAATTCCCAAGCAGTTCAAGGTGTATTTCCCTGGCATAAAATAGACTTGGGGCATCCGAAGAAATCCAAGTGATGTTCAACATGCAACTTCCCAGCACATCTATGTCTAATCCCACCATCCCCAGGCAATCCAGGATGTACAGAAATCAAAACAAAATATTTCTTCCCCAACGAGTCTTCTCCACAGATCATCTTCAAAAGTTTATTTCTCCCCAAGCAATACAACAACACTTCCTAGAGAGCCTTTCATCATCCTCAACAAAGTTACCAATGATCTTTGGTATTCAGTCCTTAACAACACCAATCCATTTTGATATCTCGATCCAACAAGCCGCAGTTTCTGATAAACTTTTTCTCTTTTCTTTGCATATAGTTATCACTGCATCACATTGCATCCTCAAAACGTGTAGCATATCCATTTATATGGTTCATTATGCATTAAAAGAAAATTCAAACATGTATACGAAGCATAAGCTAGATTTGGAACCGTACACGAAAGCCCAAATCATTCCTTCACCAAAAAAGTGGTATTCCCCGAAGATTTTCCTTAAAGCATACCTTCTTGTTGCTATCTGCAAGAATTATTGACCTTGTGTTATCTCCTCGCAAATCCACAATATGATTCATATACCAAACATCTTGCTTGTTGCGATATTTCTACCCATTTTATGCCTTTACAGTTAGAGTGCGAGTCAAAGTTGGTGTATAACCTGTCTTTCTTCTCAATTGTTTGACTGTCCATACTTTGTGTGTGGCAGTTCAGATAATTGCCACTCTTGAAGAACTATACACCACCTTTAGCCTGAGGGATAATGTAGTTCTTGTGTTTTTCAAACATCAAAATCCCAACTTAGATTGGAAATCCTTGTCTAGAGTCCCCATCGACTGGTCTCTTTTCCATTTGTAGGTTCTCCTTTGATCAACGTTCGATTCAGACTCAACGTCTATTTTGTATCCCTAGTTAATGGTGCCAGTACCTTGCACTCCTGAATCCAAGCAAAGTCAATACACTTTTCCAAACACATATGCGTCCAGACATTGCGCTGTAACCAACTTTCTCTAACAAATTTTTCTTTTCGGGAATGACAGATCCTACTGATAGTTTGCTATCGATCTCACCCATTTTCTTTTGGGAATTCTAGATCCTACTGATAGTTCACTATCGATCTCACCCATTTTCTTTTCGGGAATGCCATATCCTACTAATAGTGCACTATCGATCTCACCCATTCTCTTTTGGGAATGCCAGATCCTATTGATAGTGCACTATCGATCTCATTCATTTTCTTTCAGTAATGCTAAACCCTACTGATAATTCTCTATTGACCTCATCCATTTTCTTTTTGGGAATGCCAGATCCTACTGATAGTTTACTATCGGTCTCACCCATTTTCTTTTCGGGAATGCCAGATCCTACTGATAGTTTGCTATCAATCTCACCCATTTTCTTTTCGGTAATTCCAGATCCTACTGATAGATACTTCCTCTATCGTTGATCTCACGCTTTGTCTTTTCTTTTGCCTTGTGGATCTTACATAATAGATCAGCGGGATGTCATCAATCATATTCCTTTTAACAATCTTTTAGCACTGTTACCACATTACAAGCTATCATCATTAAATCACACTTACTCACCATAAAGAACATATTTCTTTTCCTAGCAGATACTACAAATTAATAATAATAATAAAAAAAACCATTTGCTCTTTCGGACAAATTCCTGGTATTTCGTATTTAATCTTCTTCTACCTTGAATGTTCGAAAGGTTGGCGCCAATCTCACTTTCAGATTTAAGAAGATTAAATAGGGGAAGTTGTCATACCCCAAATTTGTCCTACCCTCATAGCTTTTCATCTGGCATACTACATTTCATTTGCATATTTCATTAGGTCATTAGCATAACATGACATTTCCATCAGTAAAGTACAATGGTTCAAGAGCTCAGTTGGTTGTGCAACATCAGGGTTTTACAATGGTTGAGGTGTGTATATCCAATAAAGTCTGTTTCTTCGGGGTTTTCAAGCAGTAAATTGTGAGATTATAGTTATAAGGCCTGGTTACCAGGAATCCCTTCTTCGAGGGCTATTATTCATCCACTTCTATCATTGCCTGATATTAGGTTTATTTCCCTACATCAAGTCAATAGAATCTTGGTTTCTATTTTGGGTGTTTGAGCAATGGCTTTAATTCTTTCAACTATGGTTCAAGGAATTAGGGTTGTTTTGTTGGTACTAGAATTTACGACTTAGATTATTTTGGATCAGATTTTAGTTTCAACATCTCAAGTTGTATTCTCTTTCAAAGTGCGTCTCAAGTTAGAGAGATTATGGTTTATACTTATCTTGTTTGAACTTGTTAGAATTCATCAACTGAGGATCTTTTGTTTATGATTTTCATGACAAATATCTCTCTATACTTCAAGCCTCATTTGGAATGAGATTTCCTCAAGATAATGTTTTTGTCCGGACAAGGTATTTTGTGAGTGGAATTGAATTATGGTACAAAATTTGAAGTTGTGGATTTGATTTGGATCAAGACCATCTTTATTCTCATCAAGATTGACTTTTGATTAAAGTCGCTTTGACTTTCACAATTAGCCATTACTACACCTTTTTGGTTTTTTCAGTTCATATTATAATGGGCCGTGGATTAAGGTAGTTTTGGTTCAAGCATTTCATTCAAGATAAAATCTAAATCACACAAAGTGGAGGGAATTGTTCCATTATTTGAAAGCAAGTTACAAAGGCCAACAACGTCCATGTACAACTTCCATTATAGATTTCAAATTCATTACAAATACCTTGCCATTTACAACTACAATTCCAAGTTCACAATCAAAGTTCCACTAAAAAAAAAGGGATCCAAATGTCATAAAATTGCCAAACTTCAAGAACTTTAAAAATAAACATATTACATGGAAAATTTCTAAAGACAAAAACAATTCCAGCAGCTTGGTGCAAATCTGCATCGAAACCTTGTTCAAAACAAGGTCAAAGCTTTGCCTCACCATGACCAAATCAAGCATAAAAAAACCTGCACAATTCAAAGCCATGCATCATGTAAAAATCATGTTCACAAAGCAATTCCAAACAAAAAATTAAGCCCTGCACATGTGTACCAAAAGAAGTTCAAATTTCAACATAATTCAAGTTAACCTAGCCAATACAAAACAAGATGAAATTCCAGCTCAACAAGAATTATCAAAACATAAATAATCGTGAGAAACAATTCATAAAAATCCAAGACAGTTGGAAACTATCACATAGCAAGTAGGCCAGCTTATTAAATCAGAAGAAAAATCAGAAAAAGAGTGTACAATTTTACATCTCATTCAATCCCACAAAATCAGGGATTTTTGTTTAAAGAATTGTGTCGCTGCCGCTGTAAGATGCAAAATCAGAGAAGGAGCTTCGAATATGAGCTCGCGACGGCGGGGAGTGGCGGCATCATCAGAAATCTGGAGAACAGAGATGAAGGAGCTCCGCCGTTTGAGAGGAGGGGACGAGTTGTTGGTGATGATGGCAGATAGGCGAAGAGAGCGGAAGAGAGCCGCCGCCGTGCGAGAATGGAGAGAGTTTGGTTTGAAATGATTTGAACAATATTTTTGGAACCCTAAAATCCTTTTTCAATTTTTCTGTTTGTTTTTATTTTATTCTATTTTCTTTTAATAATAATAATAAAATTTTACAATAATGCTGAAATAAAAAACTGAGTTATTGCTTTACTGATGGGCCGAGCTGTATTATCTCTTAGGCCCATCTTTGGTCTTGCTTTTTTGAAGAATGCAAGTTCTTGAATAAAAATAGCCCTTGGACAATAACTTGTTGAATCCACTAGACCATTGCTGCCTCACACCTGATCCAGAACATCATACCTCCCATATATTTAATTTATTTTTCCTCTTTTATTTTTCTTTTAATTGTTTTGATTAACTTTTCTTGTTACTAATTTTTTCTTAATTCCTTTACATTAGAATAAGATTTTAATTTGATTTAATTTCTTTACATGATATGAAAACCATAAATATATTAGAATTGATTTTAATCTTCTTTTATTTTGATAAATTGCTTGTGTGATTACCATGTTCCCTTAAGATTTTTAGTTCAATTCTAATCTCTTGATTAAATTGAATTAATTAGATTTTAGGTTCTTAAACCATGCATGCTAACTTAGGTAGAAGTTTCCCCTATCAAACATTAACCTTAGGGTCATCATTGTATGATAACATTAGGATCTTGTTAGTCTCCCTTAGACTTTTTCATTCCTCTTTTTGCATCTCTTAAAACTAAAACTTCTTTTTTTTTCAAACTCCTCAAAACACTTAATACCAAATGATGAGAATCACACTTCCGTTAAGCAATGGAAATGATAAGCGGGTTTCTTCTCAATCTTATCATCCTTTCATTCTTAGTCTTTTGTGTGATTTAAGTCTCAAAATCTTTTCATAAATAAGTGGAGAAATGGCTCAATATCTCTCTCTTTAGATTAATTAGTTATTATTCACAATAAAAACACAAATCAATTCAAAACTCTTTTGCCACTTGGCATTTCTTTTGAAAACTCTTTTCATAAAGCGAATGTGTTTTAGCCATTCCAACATGAAGCGAACTCAATGGCTTAAGCCTCTTTAACGAGCTCCCAACAAGTCAACGTTCCAACATTCGGAATATCTAACACATCATTCTCATAAAAAACACACAACAAACAAAAATATTTTATAGAAATAACTACGAGTGCCTTGATCCCCAATGCATGAAAGGTGGTACGTAGGCACTATAGGTTCGTAACCGCGGCGGGCACAACTAATAAAAACCTTCATTTTGTATATACTTTGCATGCATTCCCTTGTAGCATTAAGCTTTAGACTTAGATTTTTATACACCCTTAGATTAGAAAAAACTTGAGTGGATACCGTGGAGTACCACGGACGTGAGGGGTACTAATACCTTCCCCTTGCGTAATCGACTCCCTTACCCTTTTCTCTTGTTTATAAGACCATTCGCCTTTCCTCCCTTTAGTTTTATTCAGTGTTTCCTTTCCCTCTCTTCGGGTTGAATAACATTGATGGCGACTCTTCTGTCTTTTCACCCGTCGTTCGCACTTTGATGAAAATCCCAGACGCGACAGCGGAGCCTAGGCGAGCAAATATTTGTAAATATTCCTTCTTTTCCCCATGTTTTCTTTTGCATGCATTCCCTATTTACATTTTTATTTTAGCTCTTTAGCTTTAGATTAGAATACACCATTTGATTAGAACAACAAGAGTGGATCCCGTAGAGTACCACAGACGTGAGGGGTGCTAATACCTTCCCCTTGCGTAATCGACTCCCTTACCCGTATCTCCCGGCCGTATAATTGTTATTTAACCGTTCTCAGGTTTACTCTATGTTTACCTTTCCCTTCCTGTGGGATAAAAATGTTCGATGTCAACTTTATTTATTTTCTCTCGATGATTGTTCCGCCGGTTGTTTCCGATGGTGACTTCCTTGGGGACAGGTTGACCAATTACTGGTCCTTCCTGGAGTCGCTCCTAGACTTTGTTGTTTTATTTTCTTTGGGTGTTTATCTTTATGCTTTATAGCATGTTCATTTGATATGTTTGAGCATATGTATGCATTACATTTTATTGCTTTCCATATATTGTTGTCGTGTTGTGTTGTTTCATTGTTGTCGTACTGTGTTGTTCCATGAGGTAAAAGGTCCATTACCTAGGCCAGTGTACACATAGGTTAGACGGATACTCATGTCGAATCCTGTGTTCCGTTGACACCTGCGAGGAGGCATGAGATACCACACTCAAACGAGGTTCTCTTGACGATGACTTTTGTCTTGCACCCTTTGTGCATATATGGGGTGTTCGAATAGAGGACTTCCGACTCTGTTTGCCCTTAGAAGCCTTGTTCTTATTAGAATTTACCCGTGAGGTGGGTGGGGACTATTTTTATAGGTATATATGGTAATTCTTTGATACTTGGTTCTCTGGTATTCTGAAAGGGTCTGGGCCATTGATCTTGATATATGTGACCGTGGTTATGTTATCAGCACAACAGTGGTTCAGTTTATGGAAGCCATGATCCCATTGCATTCATGAAACATTTTATTAACCGCATTTTGACATACATGTTTTTTTATTTCCAGGATCTCTACTCTTTGAGTCTTGTTGGTTAGGCCGCCTTTGAAGATGAATACTAAGAAGAAAGACAATCACATATATCATGTCGTCTACAAGTTCCTTGCGCTAGTTCTTGACAACCTTCTCTTGCTAGCCAATATGTCTCCCCCCGAGAATGTTTCTACCTTTACAAAAGATTATGGAAGAATCCTGATGTGTCTAAAGTCTACACTCAATGAGTATCAGAAGGATGCTCTCCAGGCTCTGTTTCAGTTTTACGACCGCAACATGAGATGCTTTATATTCCTTGACTATTTGTTAGCACCGACTTTGGAAGAGTATTCCACCATCCTGGACATTACTATATTGCACCGGGTTCATTTCCATACTTTTATGAAGAAACCTGACGTTGCTCAGATTGCTGCTGCCCTTTATTTTGGTGAATCTGTTATAAAGGCAACTTTACGAAGAACGGACTCGTACATGATTTTCATCTGAATTTTCTGTTGAAGGAAGCTAAAGCCAAAGTTAATAAGAAGGATTGGAATATTTTCAATGATATTTTACCTTATTACATTTACGGGATGGTTTTATTTCCTAATGAGATCAAGTTTGTTAACGTGAATGTTATTGCCATTTTCATGCAAAGAAATCATGTGCCAACTCTCCAGGGAGATGTTTATCATTTCATACACTCCATAAGTTACAAGGGGAAATGTGGAGTTGTTCATTGTTTCGCTCAATTATTGTATCATTGGTTTAGAGTTTATCTTCCTCGTCGTGGTGTTTTGTTGATACTCAGTGTACTTTGAAGTGGGCTCTAAGATTGATGGGGCTCACCCCAAAAGATATTGACTGGTATATACATGATTTGTACAGGACCGAGAGTAAAGAGGTAATCTTCCGTTGCGGGGAATTATTTAATGTACCTCTCATGGGTATAAGGGGTGGCATTAACTATAATCCAACTCTTCCTTGAAGATAGTTGGGCTATGCTCTGAGAGGACCACCTGAAAAGGAGCACATGTAGGAATCCTTGTTCTATGATGTGCCCGAAAGTACCAGATGGATTGAGTCATCAAACTTGGAAAACCATTCATTTTGAAGGAGGATAGTATTTTGGTGAGAAAGATCCCATAGTATTTTGGAAGAGTATTCCACCATCCTGGACATTACTATATTGCACCGGGTTCATTTCCATACTTCTATGAAGAAACCTGACGTTGCTCAGATTGCTGCTGCCCTTTATTTTGGTGAATCTGTTATAAAGGCAACTTTACGAAGAACGAACTCGTACATGATTTTCATCTGAATTTTCTGTTGAAGGAAGCTAAAGCCAAAGTTGATAAGAAGGATTGGAAGATTTTCAATGATATTTTACCTTATTGAATTTACGGGATGGTTTTATTTCCTAATGAGATCAAGTTTGTTAACGTGAATGTTATTGCCATTTTCATGCAAAGAAATCATGTGCCAACTCTCTAGGGAGATGTTTATCATTTCATACACTCCATAAGTTACAAGGGGAAATGTGGAGTTGTTCATTGTTTCGCTCCATTATTGTATCATTGGTTTAGAGTTTATCTTCCTCGTCGTGGTGTTTTGTTGATACTCAGTGTACTTTGAAGTGGGCTCTAAGATTGATGGGGCTCACCCCAAAAGATATTGACTGGTATATACATGATTTGTACAGGACCGAGAGTAAAGAGGTAATCTTCCGTTGCAGGGAATTATTTAATGTACCTCTCATGGGTATAAGGGGTGGCATTAACTATAATCCAACTCTTTCTTGAAGATAGTTGGGCTATGCTCTGAGAGGACCACCTGAAAAGGAGCACATGTAGGAATCCTTGTTCTATGATGTGCCCGAAAGTACCAGATGGATTGAGTCATCAAACTTGGAAAACCATTCATTTTGAAGTAGGATAGTATTTTGGTGAGAAAGATCCCATAGCTTATGCGCCTTACATGTAGTGGATTAAATAAGTAAACAAAGATCATCATTGGCCTTTTGCCATAGAAAAACCTTTATACCCTGAAGAGTCAGATCAATCTGATGTTGTACCAAAGGGAGATTATGAGCTAGTGCAAGTCAGAATCGATGATTACTTGAGGAATGTGAGACCATGTAGGTAAAGTTTCTTGTGGCTACCCAAGAGAAGACTCACTTAGCCCGCGAGCTTAAAAATTTCAATGGAGAAACTTCAAGGGTTATGAAAAAGAGACCAAGGGTTGAAGACAATGTTGTTTCCCTGGAAGATCACCAGAAAATTGTCTCTAAGATCGAAAAGAACTACAAACTGAAGTGCCGATATTGTGAGCTCCTTAAAACATCCAAAGCTGACTTGGAAAAGAGGTACCAGGCCAAGATTGAAGGGTTGGAGAAGCAGTTGCTAGTCAAAGACACCCAGCTTAAGAAAGAAAGCACCCAGAGACTCACAGTAGGAACTCTGCTCAAGGGGAGAAATATTCAACTAG